AGGAGTTTTGTCTGGAAATTTAGGTGATGATTTAGAAACTGAGTTTTATCACCCATTTTCTCATCTTCCTATGAATGTATATAGTCAAAAAATCAAGGCTAATGTTAAAATACATCCTGGATGGCTTTCCCCTTCCTCAGAGTAGGTTACATGACTCGATGAAACATTAAATCAAAGACTCAAAAAGAAAATGGAAAAGGCCATACTTTTTACTCTTTTGCAATGTGTAACCACAACAGTACATTGCCTTTCAAGCCAGTGAGTCATGTAAGACTATAAATCAGTAAAGATGGGAGACATCAAAGCCTTTTTGAAACACAGCAGCACTATACTCCTCTTTCAGGTGGGCTTGCTGCCAGCCTAGTAACCCACCTGCATGTGATACATTATAGCTCCACAGCCTGGCAAGCACGAACTACTTCGCTTTACTTTAACCAGAGATGGAAATCTGAATAAACCTTAAGAAATATGAACAGTGCCACAGCCTTTGTGTGAGAGGCTCTGGTTGAGAGCAACTGAACTTTCAGCACCATTAGGAGCCAGATCACTTGGGCTGCAGTCACATGTCTTGGGAAATCAGGCAAAGTATTTTAAGATACTAAATCCCTTCTTCCCTTGCACTCTCATCCCCCCATACATACACAACTCTCAGCCACTACAGCACACCACACCAAAGACCATTCCAAAAAAAAACAGGTGAATGTGCATAACCTAAAAAAAAGCAGTGTCCTCATAGTGTGTTGCCAGGGTCCATACCTAGAGGTAAGGATTAAGTCCGTCATATTATTTCTATTCTAGATACTCACACAGCCTTATTTACTGTGGCACCTGAGCAGAGATGTAGAGCTGAGGTATACAGAAGCTGAGTGACTTGCCCAAGAGCCCTCAGCAAGCATACGGCAGGGCAGGGATTGAATACCCTGGTCTCCCAAAGGACAGAAGAGCTGGCCCACACTACTGCTATCCCCGACATCATCTTGAAATGCTACAAAGCTTCCCAGTTCATGTAACATTGAAGCAAGAGCATGAGAACTGGAGAACGTTATTTAGATGACAGCATCCAGGAAACACACTCTGGTTCCATAATTAAGCAACAAGGAATAATAAGCAGTATAGCAATCGTGGAGTAATCACAACCTTTTGGTTGTGAAGTGCTTCAAATGCCCTTGGGGAATGATTATCTCCTGATAACTACAGACTCTGTGTTGTTGCTTTACTCTTAATAAAGAACAAAGATGCGTCTGGCAGTTTTAAACAATAGTTTAGAGAGAGATGCTTGCAGAAGGACAATTATGCCATGCTACTTTGGAAGTACTTGGAATGAGCACAAATATATCTTGGTTGCTGCAACTCAGATATAACAGCATGTGGCAACATAGGGTGAACACATACCCTTCCAAGACTTCTAGGACTGGTGGCAAAGAGGCATGCTGCTGAAGGGACCTGCAAAACCCCTGCTGTTTGTGCTGACAAAGTAGCAATGATAAATTAGCACATTATCCAATGTGCATAAAGTTCCATGAGCAAATAATCTTTCTATTTTATGAGTACTTAAAATAAGGGTCTTAAGATTCACACACAATTAGCCTGACTGGGGGCCACCAGGTTATCAACCCTCTGAAAATGAGAAGCAGGCCAAGACACAAAAGGCTAATGTAGTAGCCAATTCTTGTGAGTCGAGTCATCGTAATTGTCCACTTATATGTCCTTATCCTATTCCAGTTGCAAGATAAAATACATTTCCTGCTAGCTTAACTTTGCCATTGAAGAAGAGAAGAGAATACACAGCTGTGACAACTCACTTTAGCAGTAGCTCATCAAATAGATTTAATTCCATCCCACTAGGATGCTAGACCATTTGGCTAGGTGTCTATGCCTGTTTTCACCTGCCTGTGTCTAAGCTACTATTCTGAAAAACAGTGGCTTACAACACTGTCTTTCACGAGCTGCCTATTTTTTGCAGTTCTTTTTGGAAAAAGTGCCTGCATGGAGGAAAAAAAAAATACATCATAGGGCTCTATGTTTAATGTCTGTTTACAAATAATACAACCTTTCTAATGACCCATCCTATAATCTCAGCTTGGTTTTCAAGACTCAAAATGGATACTTCCTCTCTCTTACACCATAACCAGTAACGGGCATTCTGCAGCCCAAATGATGCTCCTAGGAGCACTCACGCATGCACACGAAGGGACAAATTATTAAGTTCATGCTAATGCAAAATTCCCTGTAGTTGATGTTTGAAAGAATTCAGCATTGTTGAATTATGCATAGCTCGCTAATGCACTGTTATAGTGTCTACCACAGGTCTCCATAGGATACTA